ATGTCATTATAAAAAGATCATCAAGTGATTAGAGAGCATAATGAAAAAAATTACAGACAATATGGACCATTAATTGGGTCTAATGTAAGATAAACACACAAGAATACATACATTTCAAAGACAGGTTAATCAATTTACCATACTGAGACTAATCCAATAATCAAGAAGGCAAGAAGCCAAAGTCAGACTAGTTCCAGAAGCAAAAATTACTGTGAGTCGTAACAAAGAATGAACAATAAGAGCAGACAAACAACCAACCAAAACGCAAGAAATGTATTAATCAAACAGATTTTATAATCCCAAACACAACAAAAAACTAACATCGATGTTCAAATTGTCCATTATAAACAAACAAACAATCAACAATAAATGTTTTATTGCCCATTAATCATCAGTGTATGATGCATATGTTAGAATGTGAGGATGCTATTTCGTATGATTAGAATGATCACCAAAGATTCAGAGCATAATGCAAAACATATACGTTTGAGATTCAAGGAAACTAAATCCAGAACATGCATGAGTCTCAAATACGTTTAGAATAACTATCTACATGAAACTACTCCAAGTTACATCTATTTCTCAAAATGAGAGATCATCTAATACATACAAGCACCGAAACAGAGATGATATTGTAACGTTCAAATAGGCAAGAAAGTTTGTACCATTTTATCAAATGGATATGGTAGGAAATAAATATCTACAAGATATTCCAAGATACACCATTTTCATAAAATAAGAGACCTTACATACAAGCATCAATTGAAGCAAAAAATCAAAACAGTGGTTATTCAATACTCACACTGTATACACAGAGTCAAATGAATTGAGTTTCTAAAATCTGATAAATAACTAGATAAAGGATAGTAGCATGCATTATCTACACAACTGTATATTAAAGAAATACTTAAGTGGCACCTAAGATCAGTACTTTTAACTACGTAGATATACATAACTCATCTTAGTTTGTGATTTTCATATTTACTAATATCAATTTACATACAGAAAAATGTAGAAAGCTCATACCTGTAAAGTGCACTTAGATCAATATTTCTAACTTGACGTAGATATACATAACTTAACTTAGTTGTGATTTTAATTTCATATTTAATAATATCAACTTAGTACCAATAAAATATAGAAAAGTGCATACCTGCGAGTCTCTCTGTCTGAAGAAAAAGCAGAGAAGTCCATGAGAATATGAACACTTTATGTAACACATACCTGAAAAAAAAATCAAAATTATAAATAGTTAGTCTCTACTTCAAGTAAAACACCTCATACTTACCTTGTTACTTTCAATGCACAGATCATAAATCATGATCATGATCTTTGTCCCAAGACTCATTCTCCAAGTCTTTGTCTAAACTCTTTTGTAAGCCGTGGGTAAAGTGAGTAATCTTTTCAAAGTCTTTGTCTTAAGACTATTACTCTTTTTAAGCCGTGGGTTACTAAGACTCATTGTCCAAGTCTTTGTCTAAACTCTTTTGTAAGCCGTGGGTAAAGTGAGTAATCTTTTCAAAGTCTTTGTCTTAAAACTATTACTCTTTTTAAGCCGTGGGTACAGTAAGACTCATTCTCCAAGTCTTTGTCATAACTCTGTTTAAGCCGTGGGTAAACTGAGTAATCTTTTCCAAGTCTTTGTCTTAAGACTATTACTCTTTTTAAGCCGTGGGTATACTAAGACTCATTCTTCAAGTGTTTATCCTAAAGACTTTTTCTTAGTTCACAGTCTTTTCCCTAAGACTCTTTCTAAGCCGTGGGTAATAATAGTAAAGCAAAGAATCTTTTTCAGTTCTTTGCCTTAAGACTTGTATAAGCCATGCTCAAGACTTCTTTAAGCATTTGTTCATTTTTCCATTGAGAATCTCTTCCCATAGTCTGTCTTTTCGAAACATTTCCAGCCTTTGATCGTTTGTTGTCTAATGGTTTTCCTCTTTTAAGCCTTGTGTCCATATTCAAGAACAAGTTTACGGGTCATAGTCTCTGTTTTTCAGCCTTGTGGTGATATTTAAGAGATCATTTTTGGTTCATAGTCTATGTCTAGACTGATGGATCCAGCAAATCCAAAAACCGACCCAGTCTTTTTCTAAAGACTTTTTCCAAGCCGTGGGTACTAGCTTAAGACTTCTTTCAGCATTGGCTCATTTTTTCCATCCAACAAATCGAGACTCTGCCCATAGTCTCTGTCTTTACAAACTTTCCAGCCATTGATCGTTCTTTGTCTGATGGCTTTTTCCTTGTGTTTATAGTCAAGGATTAGTTTACGGGTCAGGTTTCTGTTTTTAAGACTTATGTAAGCCTTGTGGTCTCAGTTCGTAGTCTTAGTCTATGTCTCTAGACTGATGGATCAACACATCAAAAAACTGATCCAATCTTTTTCTAAAGACTTAAGCCGTGGGTAAGTATAAATCTGTTTTAGACATTTGTCTGTCCTAAAACATTTTTCAAGCCGTGGGTACAAGTAAGGCAGCAGTTTTCACTACTTTCTCTAAGCTGTGGGTACTAGCTTAAGACTTCTTTAAGCATTGGGTCATTTCTTCCATCCAACTAATCGAGAATCTCCACCCATAGTCTTGTCTTTGAGAAATTTCCAGCCTTTGATCGTTCTTTGTCTAATGGTGTTTGCCTTGTGTTTATAGTCTCTGTTTTTAAGACTTACTTTTTTGGTTTATAGCCTATGTCTCTAGACTTGTCAATCCAACAAATGGAAAAACCATTCGTTAGGTAAGGAATCTGTTATAGACATTGTCTTTGTCTTATAAGTTATAACTTTTATAAGCCGTGTGTGTCTTGCCTTTTCTTAAGCCGTGGGTAGAGGTAAAGGGTCTTTGCCTTTAGACTTTTTCTTAGCCGTGGGTACAAGTAATGCAAAGGATCCCTTTTCAAGTAAAGGTCTTTGCCTTTAGACTCTTTCTTAAAGACTTTTTTAATCCGGTAGTCTCTTTCACCATCCAAGTCTTGAGAGACTTTTTATAAGCCGTGGGTAGTAGTAAAGTAGTGAATCCAAGTCTTTTGTCTAAAGACTTTTAAAAGCCGAGGGTACTAACGGAAATTATAGAAAGGAAACAACACAAAGTTATCAAAGACAGAAAAAAAATCACATTCTCAACTTTACAATTGTGTGAGGGCATGTATCAAACCTGCACACTTGTAGTAGAGAAGTTGTCTTCTTGTCTTCTATAACCGCCTTAACAACTCCAAGGCTTCAGCTTTATGCACCAGTGTTGCATCTCTGTCGATAAGAAGAAACTTATTAACACCTCTTGTGACACAAAGAGATCTCTCGCACAATAAGAACCCTAATCTAGCCAAACTCGAAAATTCAACCCTCGAAATTTATCAAAGGTCGAAGAAACCTAAAGCAGTCATGTAAACGCCTGATGAGTACAGTTTCGGGTAGATTCATGATCACTGCAGAAGATCAGTTATTTGAAAGCAATTTGGAAACTTAAAAACCCTAAAACATAATCGCCAAGGGGAAGCCGAATAAACCCAACCGATCGCGAAAAAAGTTAATTGAGACCGATTATTAGATTTAAAAAACCCTAAAACATAGAAGAGACTTATAATCGATTAAAGCCAACGGATCGCATCAGTTTCCATGCGGAATCAAATCAAGATTAACTATAACCTAAAATCCTAAAATGAAATTCGCGATCTAGAGAAACAAAAAAAACCTTACCGATCTAAATGATCGTTTCCGTTGTGCAATTCGGCAAAACTTGATCGCGAGGAAGCAAAAAAAACAAAGGACAGAAGAAAAAGGAATTTGAGAGAGAAAAGGAAATAATTTGACCGTCTTGTAACTTGTAAGTGGTCTTCTCTAACGGATGTATTTTCGAATTATTATTGATATGGGCTTTTTAGTAGCCCAATCTATATAAATCAAGAAAATAACATTGTTACTGAGAAAAAAAGAGCTGAAATCAAATGGATAAAAGTGATTAAAAGAAGTTAGAAACATACACTCCAAAATTCCAAATGATCCAAAACTACTTGTACAGGAAAGTAAACAGCTTTCGTGAAAGGTGATCTCTCCTTTAGCTTATGTATAATAAAAGATGTCACACAATGCAAACAAATCAAATGAATGTCAACCAATATGATCTAGAAAACAACAATCCCAAAACCCTGAACACCTTAATTAGGAGAATGATCAAATCGAAATGCAACAAATTCCGCAATTTCCGGTAAGATGAATATGAGACTTGTACATGTAAGATTTAAGATGACTTTGAGACTTGTACCATCTTAATAACTGGGACAAATAGCTTCGATGGGACGAGATTTAAGATGAATATGAGACTTGTACCACGTTATTACCGAACAGAATCCTTGAAACCCTCTGTCATGTCTCTGAATCTCGAACATCTTGTACAGAAATTCAGATCGATCACTGCTTCTTCCGTATCCAATTTCAATCACTAGAAGGCCAACTCTTTATTTAACCACAGGGACTTAAAATTAACATAAAAAGTCAAACATGGTAAGAAAAATAGATTTAAAAGTACAAAGCCTCATATTACAATTTGTACATAAATATTGGCCTCCACATCAATTAACCCAACTCTCTGTACCTCGATCTGTACCTCTTTACTTTGTTTAGCTTCTCTCTCCGTCGTAGATTCGAAACCCAAGACAGAAAGCCATAGGTTCGATCTCTATCCTGAACATTTTTTTGGGGATTTCTGAGTAGCCGAGATTTCGATTTTGAATGATAAAATCTTGTTTTTTCCTCCCTCTAGGGTTCGAACTTGTTAATCTTAGGATCTCTCCTTGAAAAATTATTCCTGGAAATCGAACAAATCATTCCGTCATAAACTTATTTCGTATGATTGAGCCTAAGACTTCGAGAGAATATTTATCAAAAAGTTAGAAAACTTTGGTTATTGCATCTTTATAAGATTCATACAGTATTCCTTCACAATGCAAAGTCTTCCCTTTTGTGTTATTGATGTAATAAGCTTGTCCTGTTGTAGAACAATACTGTTGTGAGAATGGAACAAGATGCAGAGAGAAGCACGAGCACCACCGCCACTGTTGCATCGACCTCTGAAGTGTCGGATTTGGATCCGATAGCTCGAGTGAGGAAGCTCTTGTTCCGGCAGATGCTGGTGGGAATCAAAGACGGGAGATTCTTCCTCGGCAATTTCCATTGCATTGACAAACAAGGAAACATAATCCTCCAAGACACCGTGGAGTATCGTAGCATAAGAAGATCGTCTCCTTCGCCTACAGAGCAGCGTTGTCTCGGTATGATCTTAATCCCTTCGTCTTGCAGAACATCTTGCCATGTCGATTGCTCCATCGAAGAACAGCTTTCATTGGTTCAGCTCAAAGAGTAGAGAGCAGCCTCTCCAGATTTTTTTCATCAATGTGTGGTCTATTGATTATCGCCCAAAATTCAAACCTTTGTTCCATGTTCTTGTATTTGTATTGTATGTATGATATAAACGATTCACATTTTGTGGAGTAGCGTTATATTTACATTGTGGTAGACAAAAGTCTTTGAAACGTTTTCAAAGTGTATCATCAACAACAGCAGAAATCAATTAATTCTTCGATCAGAATCTGTCTTTGTAAGTTCAAACGTTCCATACACAGAGAAACTAATGCATCCCTGAGTGGCACCATAACGAATATCGGTTAGAGAAGAAGAATGGAGAGTGCAGATCTGCAAAATCCGTTGTCATCTTCACCTTTATCGACGGGAATCATTCATCGTAAGCGTCTATCATTTCCAACGAGGATACACGATACGAATGCGTAATCTATGAAATTAATCTCCAGGCATTAATTCTTACTCTCCAAAATGGTAAAATATTCTATTATAAACCTTTGCGATCCTAATATACTCTGTTTTTTGTTGCGATAGTCTTTTTCTCTTGCATGTGTTCTTTCTTGTTGCGCAATCTGTCGCTATCTTATGATATACGGAAACCGTTACTTGTCTCAGGGGATTATCGAGGGTATGTTCATTAATTGATTGATGTTGTTCTCCACAAATCTTGGAAAAAAACTGAGTTTGTTTAGGCGTTTAAAGATAATAGGGTTGTTGTTTCTTGCTGCACAATCTTTCGGTAGTATATGTTATGGAATACAGAAACCGTGAGTTTGTTTATTCTGATTATCATGGGTAATTGGGTATGTTCATAAATGGTGCAAAACTCCTGGAAAAACTGAGTTTGTTTAGGCATTTGATGATAAAAGGTTAATGTTGCAACAATCTTTAGCTATGTTAATGAACATAGGAACCGTGACTTATTTTATATGTTTGCAGTAACCTTTTATCATCACACATAGGAGTTAAATGTGATTTTGAATTTGAGTAAGACCAATATTTTATTAACAATTATTATTCTGACTTGTGATTTTAATTTTACAGGAAAATGAGACAATTGTTGTACCAAACCCTGAAGTGGAAGAAGTTGGGTTTCCTCCTTTGACAAATACGCATATTCAACACTGACAATTAGGAAAACAAAAACTACTTCACATTTTCTAGTTTACTGTTAGTATTTTTTCTTTACTGGATATATAGTTTAGTTTCTTTGGTCAAATGTTGTTTGTAAAAGACTACTGAAATTAGATAAGTTTTGCAAAAACAAATTCAATACATAACTGAGATTACTCAAGCAGGTAATATTCTTCATTCATCATCAAGAATAAACAAATGTTCTTTATTCATCAATAGATATTCTTTTTCCTTTTTTTTTTTTTTTTTTTTAAACCAAAAAAAAAAAAAAAGATATTCTTTTTCTTAAGTAGCTCTCATATAAATAGGATTTACTGAGTTGTTATGACATAACATAACGGCCCCCTAGGATTTACTGAGTTGTTTGATTGGGCCCGATTAGATATTTATTTTAATTAAACAAATTAAGGGATGCATACATGCATGCATATATTAAACGATGAAACGAAGTAGGAAAATAAAGTTCGTACATGAACTAGGATTCCTGTTCATCTTGGATATATGAGATCTTCAGGTTGTGTATATACATACAGCAAGATTTCATCGGTGTACAAGTAAGAAAACATCAAGGCAACTGTTCTTTTTTTTTTTTTTTTTAACCCTAATCGCATACTTTTTTGTGTGTGTTTTAATGTTAATGCTAATCGCATACTTATTGCTACAAGTAAACATGGTGCTGGTGCCACCAAACGAGTCAAGCCCTGATGCTCCGCCTCCAAGTCCAACGCCACCAAATCCGTCGTTGTTTTCGTCACTACCAGAGGACATCGTTGTGAGTGTTTTGGCTCACATCTCCACGTCATACTACCCAACGCTATGTCTTGTCTCCAAGCGCTTCCGCTCGCTCATCCTCTCCGAGGAGCTTGGCATGTTGCGATCCAAACTTGGAACCCAAGAAGAATGTGTTTATGTCCGCCTACAATCGCGCACCGATCCTTGTGATCATAGATGGTTCAGTCTCTGGATACAACCCAATGATATAAAACCCCTAACCCATTGGAAAACCAAAGTCAAGTGTACCGGAAACATGTTTTTACCAATGCCCTCTTCCTACTCTCCTCGCTTACCAATCTTCCGTGAAACTGTTGGCTCAAAAACATACGAGATCGGCGGACAGAACAATCACTTCTCGACCGACGTGTGGGTCTATGATATGCTGACTGGTAAACCGCGCAAAGCCCCTAGCATGACGGTGGCTCGTAAGCATGCACATACGTGCTCCATGGATGGGAAGTTATATGTAATGGGAGGGTGTAAAGCAGATGAATCTACGTGTTGGGCTGAGGTTTTCGACCCGAACACTCAAACCTGGGAACCTTTACCGGATCCTGGCACTGAGCTACGTTACTCTTTACTTAAAAAGGTGGAGGCGCATCGAGGAAACGTTTTCGTGAGGAGCAACAAGAAGAACTTTGTTTACCTTACAAAAGAAAGGAGGTGGGAAGTTATTGAGGTAGACTTGGGTGAGAGTACGTGTGAGATAGATAATGTGTGCTACTGTTATAACAATGGAGAATGCTTGTGGTTTGACACAAAGTGGGGACAATGGAAACCGGTCAAAGGTTTGACTTGGTTTAATCGGCATGTTAGAGTTAGCACTGAAATACGTAACTATGGTGGAAAACTCGTAGTCGTTTGGGCCGGTCCTGAGTCGTACGTATTTTTACCTCTACCGAGGGCGATTTGGGCTGCTGTGATTTTGGTTGAAAAGCGCAACGATGGTGCAATTTGGGGTCGTGTTGAATGGGAAGATATTGTGCTTTTACTTCCGGAGACGTATAGAAATATGGTTTGTATCGGCTCATTGCAGTGATCAAACAATTACTATATGCGTTTTTCCTTTTTTTTTTTTCTTTAACTAATATTGTGCTTAATGGTTTTAGGGTTTTCAATATATATTTTTTTTTGTCTCCGATCAAGTGATGATACACTTAGGAGTTGTAGCTAGTATGATGATATGAGTTTTACCATTTTTTGTAGTATTTCCTTATTTCTACTTTGTTTTTGTTTGCCAGTCTTTATTCATTAGTAATATTCTTTTTCTTCACCAACCAGTAAATAAAATTAACATGAATGAAGCTTAAATTGCTCTCACATGTATATAGTACTACAAAAATTAACCCAAAAAGAACGAATAGTCAATTGGTTCGTCTCCTTTGCAAGGAGGAATAATTGTAGAAAATTGCCTTTGCCATCCATATATGTTACACTGATTTTTCAACAAATACAATGTTTATAAATCTGCTAAAACCAGAAAATTACATATTATGCTATATTCTTCCACACAGAAGTCAAACATTTGCAGCCTTTGTTTTTTTTTTTTTTTTTTTTTAGGCTGAAACCAGCACAGCCAAAATATGTATTGTATCGGCTCATTGCAGTGATCAAACATTTACATTGCATGTTCAGCTAATCGAACCAAAAACCGAAGTACCACATATCTTAATTGAACCCGTTAACCGAAACACAGTGCATAAACCGGTTTAATCCAGCCTCTCCGTGGCTTACACACATGAAGCAAGTAGTTGTGAGAGTAGATTGATAGACTCTCTAGACACTCTAATAAACCATACACAAAATGCAGGGTAAGAAAAGTAGCACACCTTCTCATTGAAATTGTCTTGAAAGTCTATATTTGAGGCAGCTTGTCATTTCCTTCAAAGTAGACTGAGATTCCGGTTTTCAGCTGCAACAGATTTAACGTTTTGAGAACAACTTCAAAAACGAAGAATAAGTTGGTGTACGAATATGAAAATTGAACAAGTTGTCACACCTTTTCGATTGCATTAGCTGTGCCTGAGACCTCATGTTGTGGTTGTCTTCTGAGCAGACTGATTCGAGCTTCCATTTGACGATTCTGTTCTTCGGCCTGGTAAGTGGATGAAAACGAGAAGAAATCAGTTTTAAAATGGCAAATATAAACAAACTGTTCGTGTCCTGTGATAGTCTCTTTGAGCTTACTTACCGTTTGAAGCAAACCTGATAACTTTTGTATCTCGCTCTTCTTAGCTGTTGTTAGATCACTTGCTATGTCCATAACATTCGTCCTGAGCACGAGTCATTGGACAAAATGCTGTTGTAGTAATGCCATAAAAATGCATAGTAGTAAACAAAATGGATTAAGCGGCATGCGTGAGATGAGACATACTTATCTGAAAATAAGGGATCCAAACTCTGTTCTTCCACCAGCTGCTCGACTTTATCAAGAATTGTCCCAACCTGCAAACGGGAAAGTGTTTTGGAAAATCCATCCGTCACTTCACAAGTGTGTGATCACAAAAGAGGAACCTCTTTACTAGTAAGATGCAAGAAGCAATATAAATGATATAACTAGCAACAAGTTCTAAAAGTATTCCTGAGATGTTTGTCAACGGTACCTGAAATTCTTGACATTGTGCATCAAAATCATCCTGTAACAATGGTGAAAACGTTAACTAATTTGATCACACCATGAATAATCCATCACAGGTTTTTCTTTTACGCTTTAAATGAAGATAACTTGAATGATTTCAGAGTCAAGAGTTACCTCAATTGTCTGATGCAAATTCACAATAACCTGGTAACATGTCAGAGACAGAGACAAACGAGGTGTATTAAAAAAAGTATTCTTCTTGATTTATGCCATACCAAACAAACATATGAAACCAATGGATGTACATGGTTTTCAATATGATAACAAAGAGGGCATACCTGAGTATATAACCGGTAAAGAAGTTTTTGCTCAGCACCACTGAATTTTGAGAAAATGTCAAGAAAATCCTAAAGGCAAAAACCACAAAGGCTTAATATTACAAACAAATCAGAAACATCAGAGCTCTTAAGCTCTGATTTTCACAGTCTCATCTTCAATTTACCAAGAAATACACTGTGCAACTTCAGTTTACAACTCACGGAGACGATAATAGGAAGCACATTTTGATAATTCAGCACATGAAAAATACAAATGTAATCGACCTAGTTACCTAGTTCAAGTTCCGATTATATCAATCTTTTCTAAAAACCTCACTGGATTGAGTATTTTTGCAGTATCGAGCAGACAAAGCAAATTCAGAACCAATTCGGCTCAATCTGAACAAACCCAAATTCGAGCTTGAATGAGTTCTTCAGCTCGGATTTTCTAGAATTGATTCTAACCGACAAACGTCTATAGAGGATCCAATTCTCGAGAACCCTAAAAACCCTAAAACCTTCAATTCACTGGCAATTTTCCATAGTAATTCGCATGAATCCGAACAAAACCCAAAATTGCGAGAAAATAACAAAGGGAAAGCAGGAAAAGGCATTGAATTGAAGAGTACCTGTTTGGAGCAAGCAGAGAGAAGAGAACGAACAGCGGATTTGAATGATTTTCTCAGATCCGATTGCCTACAACCCGGAATACCCGTTTCGTTACCCGAATTCTCCATCTACCCAAATGATTAATCAACCAAAAAGTGGTTCTGAAATTTCTACAATTCGCAGTGGGTGTGCATGAAACTATGAAAGGAGATGAAATTGAAAAAGAAAAAAGAAATCAATCTGGGTAATTTTGAAATTTGAAAATGAACTCTAAAAATTTCGAACAAATTCAGAACATTTCGGAGGGAAAATAAAGATAAGGTTTCTCAGGCCCATGTTCACACTGAAAAAGAAAGCCCATTTAGTGTTTGGCCCATATTTGTCTTCGCTTGATAAAGCGCGCGCGATACGAAAACAAACAAACATTAACGGACTAAAAACAGAGAAAACAGAGCATAGCAGCAAGAAAACAAGAACAGAGCTCTGATTCCTCGCCATGGAGTTCCATGGAAACTTCGTCAGCGTTACCGACACTAACGATTGCAGAATTGAGGGCGTGCTTGCTGATCTCGATCTCCGCAGATCTAGGATTGTCGTCAAAAATGGTTAGTGGTTTTCTTTCGTTATTTTCTTGTGCAATATAGATATCTCCTGAATTGTTCATCGTTTCCAATCGGTAATGAGAATTAATCAAGATTCCTCCTTCTAGGGTTCTTCTTCTGCTTCGTCGTTAAATAGAGTTGTATGTAAAAGAAGAGTGTAAGGGTTTACGAGGAAGGAGATAAGTGGAAAGTGTGAGAGACGCTTTGACTCTGTTGTTACAAACGTAACTCTTGTGTGTATCGATCTAATTTGGATTCCATTGATTTCCAATTATTTCAATCACGTAGTTACATGGAACAAAAATACATTTCGTCTCTGTTTAATTCATTTTGTAGGGCATCTTCTGCTGTAGCGTACATATATTTAATTTCCTTGTGCAGCAAGGAACTGTGGATCTGAAGGGAGAAGGATTCATGGTCCACAGATTCCACCATCAGCGATAACCCTTCCCTCTGTTCCTTTACATGAAAGTCAAATCAAGGTAGATAAATGTAACAATTTACACAATCTAACACAGGACCTAGGTTCAAAAGAAATAACAAACTCGACTTGTGATTTTGGTGCAGGATCTTGAGCTCATCTTTGTTCCATCCAGTGAGCGGGATTTTTAGAGCTGTCAATTGGGCCGTTCGCGGCCCATTGGTCCATGTCCAAACGGACCATTTAATAATTGGTCCGAAATGGGCCACGCCCAAATGGACAATGGTCCGAAATGGGCCGCGCCCAAATTGAACCCATGTCCATACGGGTTTGCCCATGGACAGCCCATTATATCTGTTCCATTTTTTATTTTTATTTTTTTTACAAAATACTACCAAACAAACACTTATAAAAGTATGAAAATAACTAAATCCATGATAACATATTAATGTAAAACACAATTAGCTGTGGTTTTACGATTTGACAAAAAACGTGATTTTACGATTTTGACGGGAAAACGTGTTTTTGGCGGGAAAACATGTTTTTACAGTTTTGGCGGAAAATTGTGGTTTTACGGTTTGACAAAAAATGTGATTTTACAATTTTGACGGGAAAACGTGTTTTTGGCGGGAAAACATGTTTTTACAGTTTTGGCGGAAAATTGTGGTTTTACGGTTTGACAAAATAAATGTGATGTTACGGTTTTGGCGGGAAAACGTGTTTTTACGATTTTGGCGGGAAAATGTGTTTTTACAGTTTTGGCGGAAAATTGTGGCTTTCCGGTTTGACAAAAAAAATGTGATTTTACTGTTTTGACGGAAAAAATGTGATTATACGATTTTGGCGGGAAAACATATTTTTACAGTTTTGGCTGGAAAACGTATTTTTTACGGTTTTGGCGGAAAATGTGATTTTACGGTTTTGGTTGAAAAACACAATTTCATGATTTTAGCGGAAATAATATTTTTACAGTTTTGGCTGGAAAATTGTGGCTTTCCGGTTTGACAAAAAAAATGTGATTTTACGGTTTTGACGGAAAAAATGTGATTATACGATTTTGGCGGGAAAACATATTTTTACAGTTTTGGCTGGAAAACGTATTTTTTACGGTTTTGGCGGAAAATGTGATTTTACGGTTTTGGTTGAAAAACACAATTTCATGATTTTAGCGGAAATAATATTATTTCCGCTATCAAATAATATTTCCGGAAAAAAACACAATTTTATGATTTTGATTTCGAGTGAGGTGGGATTTCGCAAAGGAGAAGAGAAATCAAGCAAAGAATTAGGTTTTTTTTCATTTTTCCCCAATTTCACTTAACCCTAACAAAATTCGTCATTGGGCATGCCCATAGCCCATATGGGTTCGCCCATGTTGTCCGTGGACAAAATTGGTCTTCGACCATTTGGACCATTTTTTGTCCGGGCCTGACCGTGGCCCAGTCCATAACATTGCGGACTGGGCGCGCCCATGGTCTCTCCGCCCAATTGACAGCTCGAGGGATTTTCCGTCGCTGTCTCCGGCAGGCCGTCAAGAATCAAACCGGAAAGGTCCTCAACGCCGTTCGTACAGTGATGCTATGGCCAATAAGAAGAATTGAGCATTTACTTTAAAGCAATGAAGCGGGAGTAAATATTACATTGATCTCTAGACTCCAACTCTTCCTTTAAGATTCATTGTGACCTGATATTAGTCTTCTCTTGTTTTCAGATTATACCCCTTTGGTTTTATAAGGTTTGATGAAAAAATTCTGTAGAAAAATATAAAATCTTGTTTTGTTTTTTGCAATTCTTCCTTCTTTTTTTTTACTGCAAACCTCCACCTATTTTGTTTATAAAAATGTCATCAAATACGAGCTGACCATTCATTTCCAACTCGAATATGTATTGACTTGAATATAAATATGGCTTTAATAATCACATAAAGGTTTTATTATATTGTCGGGAAAAAACGAAAAGAAGGTTGTATTATATATTTCCATTATTATATATGAAAAATCAAGGTATACACAGTTCTTATCCAAGTAGGAAACTAACTTACACGTGTAGTACTTGTATTTAGGATTCCTAAATAGTATTGGAAATACAAAACAGTCACGTTGTGTATATAAATAAATACACACCATGTCACCGTACAACAATACGATTAAGAAAACAAAAACGCAAGCAACTATTGGTTTTTGTAATAATAAAAACCATAATCGTATATTTAGCTACAACTAAAACGCCGGCATGAATTTCAACATAGAACCACCGAAGGAGTCATTAAACCCTCCTCCACCTCCTCTGCCGGCACCTGCACCGTCATCGTTTTCATCACTACCAGAGGAAATCGTTTTGAGTATTTTGGCTCACATATCGGCATCGTACTATCCTAAACTCTCTCTTGTCTCCAAGATCTTCCGCTCGCTCATCCTCTCCAAGGACCTCGAGAATGTGCGAAAACGCATTAAAACCCTAGAAGAGTGTGTTTACATCTGCGGCAATCACGCACTCATCCGTGTGATCCTCCCAGATGGTTCAGTCTCTGGATCAAACCTGATGATCATCAAACCCTAACACATAGTAGATGGTTAGGTTTTTTGGTGGAACCCGATGTTCATCAAAACCTAACCTATCGCATGACCGAAGACAAGTATACCGGAAATCTGTTGGTGCCAATGCCTTCTTCCTATACTCCTTACTTACCAAGATGCTACGACATGGCTGGCTCAGAGATTTACGAGATCGGTGGCGGACTAAACCCACTCTCCTCAACCAAAGTGTGGGTGTCTAATGAGCTTAACGGTAAATGTCGTGAAGCACCTAGCATGCTTCTTGCTCGTAAGAATGCCTTTACATGCTCAATTGATGGGAAGTTTTATGTAATGGGAGGGTGTGAAGCAGATGAAACCACGTGTTGGGGAGAGGTTTTCAACCCAAAGACTCAAACGTGGGAGCCTTTACCGGATCCTGGCACTAAGCTACGTTACTCTTCAATTAAAAACCTCGATGTAGGTAATGGAAAAGGAAACATTTACGTGAGGACCGATGAGAAGAGCTTTGTTTACCTTGTAGGAGAAGGTAGGTGGGAAGTTGTTGAGGGAAGCTTGGGTGAGAGTGTTTGTGGGATAGAGAATATATGGTATCTTTGTGCTAATGAAAGATGCTGGTGGCGTTACGGAGATCGTTGTGAAGAGTGGAGATTGGTCAAAGGTCTGAGTGAACTTGATTACCATTTCAGATTTTGTAATGGAATGGAAATAGTAAGTTGCGGTGGGAAACTCGTAATCTTTTGGGTTGGTCCATTAGAGTTACCTCTTGGAGAAAGCGTGGAGATTTGGTGTGCTGTGATTTTGCTTGAAAGACGTTACGATGATGAGATTTGGGGTCATATTGAATGGTTTGATGTTGTTCTTAGAGTCCATTGGTCACATACACTCTTGCGTTGTGTGGTGAGTTAGTGAATGTGATTAACAATACGCTTTTTCTTTTAAAAGTAAATCGTTTATTTAAAATTTCTTAATTGTTTTACACATTTTAGAGGGGTTTTAATTTGTTTTGTTTTTTGGGATCAATTTCTTTATTAATCGGTAATACTATTTTCTGAAGCACTTAAGGCAGATGTATATTGAGCTTGCAAAAGACCAACACAAATTCAAGCCTCGGCTTTAGAAAGTTAAAAGCTGTTGTTCTTATATATGCACACTGATTAACAATAATTTTTTGGTGCTTAGTTGGAGAGAGATGGCAAACTATAATAGCATACATATTACATCATGAACAAAATTAACCTATCAAGTTTATAATTCTTTAATAATAATTTAATCATCTTTCTAAAACATATGCGCCTCACACTGGACACGGACAAAAATAGTAACACGTTAATAAACATAAATTATTAGATGTCACATTTAAATATGTAGAAAAAAAACTAAATTAACAGATTAAAAAGTTAAATCGTAATTAAGTACTTATATAATAAGACATGAGCCCAGTTAAAGCCCATAAAGTTTACCCTCAACACCTAAAACATGAATAAGTAATTCACGGCCCAAATATTAAACACCGCTAACGACACGCGGCTTTTTCCAATATAAATCCACAGATTCGAACGAAATTTTAAACAAAAGTTCGAAAATTTAACATAATCGCAACAGAGCAGAGAGCACAAACCCTAATCAGATAAAACCCCTTCTTATTCTTCTTCTTCTTTCCCAATTGTTCCACATCAATCTCGTTCTTCTGAATAACAATGGAGATTCAGAATTCGCAATATCACTCGACCATACCATCATCATCTCTACCTTCTCTTCCGTAAAATCACGTCGAATCGTTCATAGGAAGCTTCATCACTCTGATTTCTAAGTGCGGATTACGTTACGGAGGTGTTCTTTATCATTTCAATGTCGACGATAAAACGCTAGGTCTCCACACCGGTACGGTTTCTCGATTTTCTAAAAACCTCCAAGATTTTAGTTTTTTTTTTTTTCTCGTTTCCTCGAAACTGAATCAAAACTTTCGACTAAATTCATTATCTTTTCTTTCTTGTTGAATGGTTTTTGCAGTGTTATGCTATGGCACAGAAGGAAGAAACAATCTCGGATTCCAAATCTTGCCCTCTAATACAATTTACACTTACATTCTCTTCGCCCTAACTGAAATCACGGTTAGTTTGTTTGCGTGTTTAACGTTTTATCAAATTTTCAAGATTTGAGTACAGAAAGAAACGACCTTTCTTGCGCTTCAAGTTTTAAACTCAAACTTTCTTTTTTTGTCAGGATATAATATATAGAACTCCTACGCGTTACGGTTACGGCAATGTAGCAAAAGGAGCTACGAGTAGTCAACTTTTGCCATACAATCCACACGGTGCTCAGAAAGTTCCATCGATCTCCAACGAGAAGCTCAACGAACCACAAGCTCTTATTACGGATTATGGTGCTTCTTTGGTTAAGGGATCAGTCAATGAAAGATCTTTGAATCCCTTTGCTCAACCGGGATACAACGGTTCAAGTTTCTACGATCCTTGTTCTAACCAGCTTTACCAGTCTATTACGCCTTATGGTTTACCTTATCAAGAAGCTCCTATTCTAAACGCACCTTATCAAGAAGCTCCGATTATAAACGCTCCCTCAGAGTTTGCTGCTCCTCGTAGTTACTTTACTACTTTCCCGCCTGTTCAAATCTCGCTTCGGCCTGTAAAATCTCATTCTCTCTTTTACAACACATATGTATTTGTTTTGTATCCTCCTTTATAAGCTTTTTGCCGAAAGTTAATTTTACTTGTGTTTATTTTGTTTCTAGATGAATTCTGGAGGATTTGTATTTGAGGCAGTGAAACAGAAGTTCAAGCAGTCGGAAATGTGGCCTCAAGAAAACAAGAATCAAAGTGACAAAAAAACTGCAGCAGCTGCTTATAGTAGTATTGATGGATCTTATTACATGGTCTCGCGAAATCCGTTTGACCCTATCGGAAGACCTTGCAATCCATATGGCTCCATCGCTAGACCCGTGAAGCATCATACCAAGGTTTGTTATTGAGCGTTCTCTGTCTCTCACTCTCTCTCTCAATAAGATGCTTTTATCGACATTTTAGTATTTTTTCATCTTTTCAGGAAATTAGCAATGGCGTACAAGGGATGCATCAACTACAGAGGTGGATATACGCATAACATGCCTTTTCTAACCTTTTTTCTTGAGTTGATATAACTGTGGCGCATATTCATGTGTTTTTTTTTTTTTTTTTGTCTCATGAACATACCTATTGTTACTTAGGACTTTTTAGAGAATGTTGTTTCTTTTTGTAAAAAAAAATACAAGTCCTAAGAAATATGTACAAATCTTTGCAGTTTCTCTAATTCCATGTATTCCCTTTGAGTTTTGACTTAAAATCTGAATTGGTCAACTATATGGTGGACTAAACATTGGTCCAGGGTGTGGGTATTTATCACACGTGTGAAGTATTCTTTTCCCTTACCCTTGTTGTTATACAAGCTTAGATTAGTCAGAGCTATGTAGACCGTTAATTGTGGCTTGTGGGGTTATAATTGTTGTCAGTCATAGAGTTGAGATATAAAGAACATAGCATAATTTATAATTATTTATACACAAGTAGAAACTTTCTTTTTTTTGTTAAAGTAAGGTGAAACTATCACGACACTCTTTTAATTGGTATCCTGTGAAACCTTAAGTGGTTGATGGGATATGTCCATTCAACAATTCCCAATACATACAAGTGCATATAATCAATTACATACATTTTTTTGTAAAAAAATAACCAATTCGTAATATTCTTTTATTATTTATATCCTGCTATTATCGGTAGTGGAAGACGCTTGTTCCACCAAGTAAATGACAGTTTCTGACTTGTTCGTTTGGTGCTCATCACCTTCTTTTGATTTTGTTTGTTTTTGGTTTTGGTCTTTGATGATGACTTGCACAAGTTGTTGTTTGTTTACTTTAATCTTGATGGCTGATATGGTCAAGGCTCCTAGTCCAAGGATGGCTAAGCAGCCTGAAGCTGCAAAGACGCCGTCTTTGACCAGGTAACAATCTTCTCCGAGCCATCCTTCTCTATAAGGCTGAGCTCGGCTCATGCTTATAGCAGTACTCAGAATTAAAACCACTGCCACAAAATTGAACCTGACTCATAGGTAAAACAAAAGAGAAATAAAAATCAAAAAGAGAGAATGAAAAGAAGAAACTAACCTTTAGAGATCTTGACTCTCTTCTTAAATTACTTCAAATTGAATTTCATATTAAGGTTTAGAATACTTAATCGTTTTAACTGAATATTACCACATTTTGTTTAGGTATGTGGATTGGTTTTATTATGTGAAAATCCAGAAAACGTAAACCGATTTTAGCGTCATCTAACCAAATTATCCAAAGTTTTTATAAATTTTATATATTACATGAATATAATATTCATCATTAACTCTTTTATATTTGTATTTTAAACTATTATTTAATTGAAACCGCACCAAATCTAAAACAAAATCAAACTGAACTAAACCAGAATTGTAGCAAACGGAACAAAAATACATATGATTTCTTTGTTTGATTTTACTATTCTAGAAAATTGAAAATTGAAGAAAAAAAACATAAACCAAATTTCTCACCCGTAGACTAAGCAGTCAATAGGATATTTAAATGTGTTTCGGTGGTTCTTGGCTATATTATCAGTTTTTTAATATTAGAGGAGAAAAAGATATGTATGTAGTAAAATATTTACCAGGAAAAGAGCAATAGCACAGTGGGTAAAATAAGATCAGTAATCTTGTAACCATCTTCTCTCTTAATTCGTGTCCTGTGATTTCGAAACACAACTACGTTTCCAACGATCTGAGCAAGACAGAAGCAAAGAACAGCTGCTGATCCGAGCCCAAACGCATGGCTTCCAGGTATATAACAGTTCCTCTCTGTGTCCCATCGAATATCTTCTTTCTACACTCATAGATATTTTCAGAAACTTGATTAGATTAAGAAACACAAAAAAAGATTTTAGTAGAAATTAGTTTATGTCGTACCTTTGTTCTCTTGAACTCGGCTGTGAAACATGTGATGAAGGCAACAAGACCAAGAGAGAGCACGACTGAGTACAGAAAAATGTTGTGCATAGTTTCTAATTATGAATTTTTGGCCTTAATGGACAAAATCATCGGACGCACGTACATATATGTAATAATTCTACAGCATAAATGTTACTCTACTATTTGAGGCAATATCTCAAGAGAAAACTTCTTTGACAACAAAATGAGGATTGGAAAATGGAGACTATTCATAATTGTATTTCAAATGATTTTTTTTTTTCCAAAACCATTTCAGAGGAGATAGATATGCTGGCGTATATACAACAGACTACTTGAAAGTTTGGTTTATACGAGGCAACTTCTCAGAGAACTCTTCTTAGTCAACTAAATGAGTATGGAAAAAGGAGAATATTCTAATTAAAATGATAATTTTCTAAAAAGAAATAGATAACTGCGTTAACTAACGGAGAGGTCAAACTATCATCCAGGCTTACAAATATTATCCATTTTGCTCATCTATATTTTCTTATTGATCAAATTAGTTGATACTTAACTAGTAATATATTATGAATACTATAAAATGAAAGTCATCGTTAATTGGTATTACAATAGAAACTCTAAAAATTAATAACGTCGGACTTTGATATTTTATTAATTTATAAAGTTATTAATATATAGGTTTTGACAAAAAAAAAATTATCAAAGGGAGCCATAATCCTAAAAAGCACAAACATAGAATTCAAAACCATTTCAGAGGAGATAGATATGATGGCGTATATACAACAGACTATTTGAAAGTTTGGTTATTTGAGGCAACTTCTCAAAGAACTCTTCTTAGTCAACTAAATGAGTATGGAATTTTTGATAGATGAAAAAAATGCATAAAATGAAGTGTACGACGATGAAAAAGGTAGAATGTCTAAAAACAGAAAGAAATAATAATACATCCAAAAACTCGAATCTTTTAACATTCCAGATTGCAAACCCAGACCGAAAAGCTAACAATGAACCGGTCAGCGTGATCGCCATGGACGAGAATACCAATTATCTAGAGCGATCTAAATCGCCGGTACAGAAGGTACTAGCGGGTTTTTTTTTTTTTTTGAAACTGTCTTCCTTGTGATGTAATGTCTTATTGAGAATGCACATTGTTGCTGCTTTAACGGTTAATAGGAGTGTGCAGTCGCTCAACGATCTTATTCACAGCATCACGGGACATCACAAGCGTATCGTGGAGCAAAATGCTGTAGACGTTAAGCCCCTGCAAAAGAATTACATAAACAAGATTCAAGATTTAAGATTCCAAGATTCGGTAACCAGAGACGGCAAAGTTTGGTATGTGATTCTATAACTTACTATTGATGGAAGTGTGTTGACATAGTGGAGGTTTTGGGTAGCTAGCTTCAGCTTCTCATCGATAGGACCACCTTGTACAACGAGTACTTTCTTTGTGTTGTCCATTTGATTGTAATAACTGACGATGTTCTTTGTTTTATGTGTTGGCAATGCCATATCATCAAACACGAGGAGCTGCATAGTTTTCCCAAAACATTCGGCAGAGTTACTGAAAATAAAAGAGTATATATGAACATGATTGAGAAGAGAAAGAAGCTGACTTTTCCTTCTGCGGCTCGAGCCGTCAGTGCTATCTTGAGTCCAAGCCGTCGAACCTGCTTATTCATCTTTATTGCATGGCTTCTCGGTTTGGGCCCATGCATTACGCAACCACCTCGGAACTAACGGTTGATGAGAAACAGTTTGGTGACAAGAAAGTTTTTTTAAAAGATTAAAATCCAAAAGTGATTTTACCTGCGGGCCACGCAAAGTACCATGTCTAGCTCGACCTGTACCCTTCTGATTCCATGGCTTTCTACCAGTTCCCGAAACCTCACTTATTGTTTTGGTCGAATGAGTTCCCTGAACATCCACCAAATGATTGATTGTTCGCTTATACAGTTATATGACTCTAATGAAGGGAATGTGAGATGGTTAACTAGTTACCTGCTGGCGTTTCGCAAGCTGCCATCTCACGACATGGTGAATGATGTCTTTCCTTATTGGAACATCAAAGACATCACCTGCTAAAACCATGAAACCCTTGTCCTCGCTCTGAAAATTCGTCACCGGAATGACCAAGTCTTGGTATTGTCCTATGGAAAACATCAACACACACTTACAACTTGTCCAGAATATATATATAAAACGAGGAAAGCAATAAAGAAAACATCATCGCAAAGAAGTGAAGACATACAGAGCGTAACAAGAGCAGAAGATTTGGTAATCAAACATGTGTTAACCTTTCATATAACAAGCTAAGCAAGGCCTGGACATGTACTATTTTAAGATTTTTTTTTTTTTTTCTTTATGTGCCCCATGTTAAATATATTTCTGCGTCCGCCCCTGATTAACCCTCCTAAAAAACAGAGTAACCACATTTTTTTAAAGCTCAGGAAACAACATGAGTTGGTAACATTTACGTATATCGATGAATGTTAAGTACTTTCGTACCTATGGTTCGGTCTAGTGTAATCACCGTCTTTTTGGAAAGTAGATCATAAGGAAATGTATCACCACTCGAGTCTGGAGTCAAAATACAAGTGGAGAGCTTTCGGTTGGAAAGTAAAGTCATTCCATACTGCATTGATAACAAAAAGTGCTCGGAGTCAGAGAGATGACCAGCCAAGTAAAAAAAAAGTGGAATGTAAAGCACCAACCTTCAGGTCACTAGGAAGAGAACATAAGCCATTTCCAGGTGCATTCGCAGAGAAATCTGTTTGAAAGAGACATAGAAGCAATCAGAGATCAAAGGAAACAAAATTTACATTTTTACACCACAAGAATCAGAAAAAAATGAGATGATACTGGGTAAACCGCTGCGTCCTAAAGCTGTCAAAGAGCGAATAAGTCCTCTAGAGACCGAAGCAGCCATATCCTTTTTGAGTCGATTGAAGGAAATGATGGCCAAGGAAGAAACCTATCTGCTCATCTACAACACCAAATCCATTTTCGAAATTCGAAACAATAAGATTCAGAATACTCAGGCTAATTCGAGCGATTGGAGAAAAGAAAAATCAAAAACCCAGTTTCAGATACATTTCGTTTCAAATTGGTACATCAAACCTAAGAGAAGAATCAGATATCAAGAGTAGATCTCATCGAGCTTCGACCAAACAAATATAAGGAAACTAGAATCGAATCTTCTATGAGAAGAAGAAAACTCACCGGTCACAAGCGGCGATGATCAACGGTGAAAGGGGAAGGAAAACGGCGACTATCAAAGGTTTTCGAATTTTGACGGGAAGGTTTACTTGTGTTTTGGATCGGGTCGGATCTTCTTTATTGGGCCATCAACTTAATATCCAAAATAAAAAGGCCCATGAACCCACGATTTATTTGTGGACATATTTCATTTTCTTGTATTTTCCCATCTCAATTTTCTTTGCCCTAATTTCCATTTTTGTATCATTCTTCTCATTCATATGTCTGATGGTTAATTTGACATAGCAATTTTGACATATATTTATTAAAAAAAAGCACAAATTATACATTTTCGAAAAAAAACTCGTTTATTAAAAAGGTTAAAAATGATCAAACCTAAAAGTTTACTAATTTTTACTAATTAAATTAGTGTTTATTAATTTATCAAGTATAATTTAGAGTTTCTACTGTATAATGGATAAATCATCAATTTAGGGGAAAGAACATGTCATTTTAATATGAAAACGAAAATCTAATGAAAACAGACGAGACCTCATTTCTTTCTCTTAAGAACATCAACAACATTAAGTCCAATACAATAAGCAATAGATTGAACAGTGACCATCGGATTAACCCCTAAAGCCGTCGGAAAAACACTTGTATCCGCCACGTATAAGCCTCCGACCTCCCAAGTCTCTCCCGTTGGCCTCACCGCAGACGCTTCCGGTCTTATTCCCATTCTACAACTACCCATTTGGTGAGCTGAACATATCTGTCCTGACAAACTCTTCAACTCCTTTGAACTCTCTTCTTTCACAAACCGATCAATCTCTTCCTTACTCGCTGTTCTAACATTCAAACTCTTACCTTCTGAATCATGCGTCCCGATCTCCTCAGCTCCGGCCGCGATTTGAATCTTCAAGACACTCTCAAGACCCTTTTGTAACGACACTTCATCTTCTTCTTGTAAGTTATAGTCAATGCAGCTCTCGGATACTCCGGTTCCTTTATCTCTCAAAAGCGCGAAAACGTGCGCTGTTCTTGAGAATTTTAGCATTCGGGTTTTGAAATCTTTGCTTGATCTCCAAGAAATGAGCCCTGAGAACATCCCTGGATGAAGAGAGGGTGTCTGGATCACCGATTCGCCATAAGAAGACTGTGTTTGTTCGTTTACAACGCTAGACATTGCGGTCATTATTCCTCCCTCGTAGCTCTTTTTCTTCTTCTCTGGCCACATCTCTTCATCTGGAAACCATCCCCAAGCCATCACCACTGGATGTAGACAAAGGTTTCTCCCAATGTGCCGGTTCTTCAAACCGCTGCGTTTCAACAGAGGCGGCGTTCTAAGCGCACCACAAGCCACAATACTCACTTTAGACTCCACCACATAAATCTTTTCCCCAAACGCAAACGCAACTCCAGTCGCCGTCTTCTTCTTCTTCCCCTGTTCACATTCGTACAAGACTTCCAATGCTTCACAACCTGGAAGGATCAAGCCATTACCAGATTCCACTAAATCTACAAGCCAAGTCTCTGAAGTCCCCTGCTTTTGACCTTTCTTGCATCCCAAGCAACAAAACCCACAGTAATGATCCGATGAAGAATTCCTTGGAATATCCTTCACCGGTAACCCTAATTCTTCACAACCTTTCCTCAAGATCTCATTGTTAAACCCTTCTTCTACAAATCCGCATTGAACACCCATTCTCTTACACACAACATCCATTGACTCTCGATACAAATCGCTTCCGAACATTTCGAGTTCCAACTTCTCCGCCCATTCCTTCGTCACATGTTCGGGTGTCTTAATCGAGGCAGACCAATTGATCGTAGAACCGCCTCCGACCGTAGACCCCGCAAGAACAACCACGTTCGTATCAGAAGTCGCTAATAACCCACCGGATAAATACATGTCATCCATTGCTTGCCCCTCAAGTAAAGAAAGCTTGCTTCTTGCATAGTAATTCCCTTTCTCCACCACCAAAACTTTGTAACCCGCCTTGGCTAAAACTCCGGCCACCACTCCTCCGCCAGATCCGGACCCAACCACCACAGCATCACACCGGATAGTTATCTCCGGGTCAGAAATAGATGAACCGTTCTTATTCCCTTTTTGAGTTGAAACTGTGAATCCTTGACCAGCTAACTTCTTTGACACGGCTTCTCTAGGGTTTCTGAGATCGATGATGCCATTGTAAAGCGGTCCAAAGATCTCCTCAGGTTTCTTCATCTTCTCATTTAGTTCTTCTTCATGAGCACTATGATCTGCGCTGGGTACGTTGTATCCAATTGCTTTCCACGCCACGTTCTTTCCTTTTTCATCCACCTGGAAAGTATTAAATCATTCAAAAATTAGTCTTTCTAGTAATTTGGTATATTAAAGTTGACATAGTTGAATGTTCCCTCCCGGGTTTATCGGGTACCGAGTTTCTTTGAAGAGCAGTTTTCAATAGGTCCACCACAGGTAAATCATTGGGCCATATATAGATATTGACCATATATGGTCTAAGAAGATATGTTGCATTTGGACTTGACACTTAAAAAATCACAACTAATGTACATCCAAGTGATTACCAACTCACTCCAGTCCTTAATTGTAATACTAACATGAGAAGTATAAACGATGGGTTACGCATGCATGTGTATATGTTTTAAACGATTGTTTTTGAATTTGTATAGCCGTTAAAATGTGCGAAAACAAAAAAAACGCCAAACTTGAAGAACCATGAGAAGTATATTATATGAAAAGTGACATAATGAAATGAGTAACTAAGTTTTGGGGATTAGTTTACCTGAGTGAAGAAGACAAGGGCAGTGATAAGTTTGATGGACCTAAAGAACATTCTAAGGAGTGAGAAATAGCTTGAAGCCCAATTGAGTATTGTCTCTTCTCTCTGTTTCTCCGGAAGGCAGCAGAATCTCCGGAAGTAAGGAAACTCGCCGGTGAAACTTCTCCGACCACACAAGACGAGACTTCCGATCCAAGTGGAGAGTGCCCATAGTCCAGCTCTTAGTATCCACTTCTTTGGGTGGTTTACTCTCGCACTCATTAACCTCGCCACCTATAATTATAGACAAGATTGACGAAAATAGTATAAATTAAAGGTTCCTTTTTATAGTTAGCATAAAAGATTTCTTTTATACGATGCCATCTATATGACTATATATAAACTATTTGTTTAAAACAATTGGATCCCAAAAGTATGTATCTGCAAACGAGAACCGCATGTATCTAAATGTTTTAATTTGTTTCGTTAGTAGTATTGTTATGTGAACTCTCTGAAATTTTATTAGTGCATATCAATTGATAAAAATATATCTCCATCATGACCAAAAAGTCTAGACCAATTAATAACACAATGTATAACATGATAAACAAGAGAAGCTTCAACATACTTTTACTCTTTTTTTGGCCAATGTAATTATGACAAAAAAAGAAGGGACCATTTTTCTATTATTTATTAGTCATATTATTGAGCATATTATAATTATAAGGAACGAATAAGTGGTTGAGAAAAGAAAAAGGAATCTAAAAATTGCCAAATTTACAAGAATTTATTTCCGTGACAATTAATTTTTGTGATATAGTTGGCCTGCGTGACGACGGAATTTAGGTGTACCCGAAACATGCCGGCTCTATATTTCAGTGAAAGTACTGAATTTTTGTTGTCATCCAAAGTACCAACCCATTTTTAGCAAAGAAAGTACTGTTTCACATGCATGCAATTAACATATCTATCATCACTCAACAAATTAAATATATAAAAACAGTATCTAATTGCCAAATACAATACTATATGTAATCCACTTATGCATAGTTTAAGCAGTAAAAGCTGTTGTTTAACGTTTTGAAGCCGGATATGAATCATCAAAACTACTTCAGCGCTTTATTCTGTTGTTAAATAAAACAACTTCAACTTTCTTTGAAAAATTGATCCTGAAACAAGAAAGATTTTTGTTTTTTGGATAAAAATCAAGAAAGATTACAAATGCATGTGTTTAACAAATAAAGTTGGGGAAGCATATATATGTACACGTCTTGATTTGTATGTATGCTCACGCATGTATGATGTGTGAGTGTGAATGCATGTTTAATTTTTCTTATACTTACGCGGTCGGGAGTTCCGTTCTGAGAAGCGGAGGCAGAGTAATATCCGGCGACGCCGTCATCCAGGTGTTCCGTTTCAGAGCCGTCGATCGATGATATCAAAGTATCGCAGATCGCTACTAGAGATTCCATTTCACGGTCCGTCAGCGAGTTTGCATAAACCGGCTTCCTTTCATCTTCCAGCCGGAGACTTACGTTTACTTTGGTCACCGTCGAATCTTTCCGAAGGCAGCTTTTCTTTTCAGTTTCCATTATTTGAAGAATTTATTTTCTTTTATTGTGGCTAGTATCAAAGTATGAATTGTGTGTTTATATAGAGAGCAAGGAGGGCCAAGGAGTTACGCAATATATATATATATATATATATATATATATATATATATATAGATAGATAGATAGCTTAAATCAAAATTAAATTAAAAATCTATGCAAATGGAATGTGTATTATTAGGAAAATCATGTATACATGAACCATATCAAATAGATTGGTACCAGCAGGGAATTTCGGATACCGACAAGTACATAGGATTTATCTGAATTATACTAAACAGAATAAAATTAGCTAAATTATTTGTTATTCTTTTTGGTCAACAATTATCTATTTTTGTAGGGGCAGTTTAGTTTTATTGAAATCATGAATATTATTCTTAAAAGACTTCTGAAAATGTTATATTGACTGCTAGTGAAATATTATATTTCTTTAGTAAAAAATGAAAATTATATATTTCCGAATCGGACTTAGATATATAATTCGTATTAACTATAATAGATCTAATATTTCAGACCAATCAATTATGCATGTATGAAAATATTTTAATTTTTATGTTGTTCAATTCAGAGCTTTGATACGACTATTAAATTATTAAATGTTCACGTTAGATACGATTATAGAATAAAAAGATCATTTGCATAATTCACGACGCGTACTTTTAACGACGTAAAGGTTTTTGTTGCATTACAAAGTAATCATCTCATGATTATAGAAGTCAGTTTAGAGTAATCTACAAGTCATTTGTGGATCAAATTACATGTGACACTTTTTTTTTTAAAAAATTGTCAACCAAAACAATATACTAAAAGTCCGGAACTGATCATGGATCCTACATTCCTATGCATGAGATAAATACTGATCAAAGTACAAGTTCTCTAGCCAATAAATCAGCCTTACAATTGAGAGATAGAACGTTTGCACAATATCGAATATGAAAATTTAGCCTCTTGAACCAAAAAAGCATCCAAATGATAGGAGAAAGCGGCCGTTGTAATCATACTCTGATTAACCACTATCCATAGCCCGAAAGAGGCGTCTTGTGGTGGCTATTGGCTATTGGCTACTATTGTTGAGTTCCCATCGGGGAAATTACTAAACAAACCCAAGCTTCATTAATCTTCCATGATCCATCTGTTTTGCTAATCCATCATGCCGTTAGGGACGGTTCAGGTAAAAAGCTTCACTCGAAGCTGTGCATTACACTCCCGAATTGTATGATCCAATATGTCAAGAGAGCCGTGTAACACACTTTTTATAAGATGTTTTTATTCATCACTTTTCTAGTAAATCAACTAATCAATAAGAATAAATTTGTTTGAGATTATGAAACCTTCTGTCGTTTGATTCGCCAGAAAAGATAGTCCATTCTGTGAATAAGATCCCGAAAATATATTGCCGGATTTGAAGATGCAGGAAACAAAGCTCAAACTTGAAGTGCATGGAGACACTTTATTGTTTCTTCTACAAATCCACTAACCACATCATACTATCTCAGACACCTAACGTGACAGTGTATATAAATGTACCCTCCGGTTTATTAAAATAAATTGCTATAAGTGGAAAATAGTTAGGTGAGTACATGTATATAAATGTGAAAACCGTTTATATTCATAAATGGCTATAGATGACATTTCAACGATCATACTCCAGTCGACCAAGTTATTTACATAGATCGAAACATTAAAAATACTGTACTTCAACAAAAAAGAAAGTTAAAAGCTCGTTAATTTTGTAACAAACTAATTAAAACAGATACTACTGAAAATGGATTTAAGACACATGTATTAGTTAATTTACCTTGTTCATCTATCTATAAAGTAAAGTTTTTATTTCTTGGCTTATTGTATTCAAATTTAAATTAAATATGTTTTATACTCTCTCTCTTTTCAAAAGGAGAACTATTTAGAATTTTCACATATATTTTTTTAAATATGTGTGAAAAGAGTAGAATTACACTTTTTATGAAACAAATGGAATAGTTATCATCAATGATTTCATAAATATTGTGGCCGAACAATTTTATGATAAAAAACTGATTATCATAAAAAAGAAATTAGAAATGTAGGGAGTACTTGATACGAAAAAGAAAATACTTACTCCCTACATTTCTAAAATATGAATTTTCTAGAATTTTCACACATTAATAATAATAAAAAATAAAACTTAATTATAAATATATCATTTTGAGATTAACAATTTCTTGTGGTTTTATAAACCAATTATTGTAGTTCAATAATTTCAATTTTTTTCTTGAATATTACAGTTCATCTTTTAAAACATAAATTTTTTTTTTTGAAACAATTTTATTTTTCATGAAAAAGGTTCATTTTCTTATGAACGGAGAAAGAAATGAATAAAAACTTAAAAACTTAAGATAGCGTTGACAAATAAAAGAAAAATAATGTGAATGTCTCCAGATATGGGACTCAAAAAATCAAAAAGTAATGGTAAATCATAATTCAAATGATTAATTTAAAATATCTTTGGTAATAATGTTAGGGAAATTGACAATGTTCATAAATATGATAGAATCAATAAAGTCCCCGGGATCACGAAAGGACCGAACGACTGCATTTATCTGAGTACCAAAGGTCCAAACTGGACCCTTACGGAACAAAAGAATTGAATGTCGAAGACAGTACAGTTAACAATACCTGTCCTCCACAGTTATATCATTCATTAAGTTTCTTGTTTTCTCTCAAGATTGGAGTTTATTTTCGCATTTTATTCAAATTATAGGTGCATTGATACCATCGACTGTCCAATGCAATAGTTGATGCCGGTAGATGGAATTTAATAAAATTTATGATCTCAGATTTTTGAATCTTTTACGTGCTAAATGTGTTGCTTTCTGTGTGTACACATACATACACGTATTTTTCTTTCTTTTTTTTGTGCAAACCACATACATACATGTTACATGTATTAAAAACTTACAATATTCGTCAAATTATTAGGTAGATTTAGATCATTAATTTGTGTTTGATTATTCCATATATCTTCAGTATAGTTTTGTATGGTTTCCACTCTTTTGAGTATTAATATAAGCAATGGCTGAAAAAGAAAAGATATTCAAAGTCTATTTCCCATGCCTTCTTTTCAGAAAATCAAAAGCAAAGAAAAACACAAATATATGAACAAAAGAGAGTGAAACTTTTGCTTAAACATTATAGTATACACATCATACAAAGTGTTTTTTGTTTTGTGGCAACAATAATTATTTACTCAATGGAAGAGTCATTCATGGAGCCTAGAGAGCAAGTAGAGACAAGCCGAAGAAAGAAAGATAGAAACAGAGATACAAAGCAAATCAGTGACTGAAGTTATAACAATTTTCCTGCTCTTATCGAACAAACCAATCAGCAGCAGCATCACTATTACATGCCCCAGCTTCGTTTTCAGCTGGCTTACCGATTTCACCTCTAACCATTGTGGTCGCTCCTGAAGCAAAAAACCGTTGGAATTGTATTAGTATGAAACCAAGAAATGAGACTTTTGATCAATATGGGTGAGAAAAGGAGCAACCTTTAATGGGAACATGCCAAAGAGACTCGATCTATTGGCAACATTATCGTGTGAATGCGAGTCTGAAGTGTTGAGATTGCTAATGAAGAGCTCGTAAAGTCCCATTCCAAAGACCAACATCACAGTTCCTAGAAGATATATATCTACAAAATATTCTTATATATCAGCAGCAATTCAGCATCACATCAATAAAAAATTTGTGAATACATAGAGACATACATAAAACTCTCACCTATAGCCTCTACTAGAAGTAGTATCACTTTCCCACGATTCACAGAATACTGCACAAACGAGTCCGCAACATACATACATCCCTGCACCGATCAAATGTTACAGAAACAACAAAATAGAAATAAAATTATAATATATTTCTTCTGTGAGTTGCAAATAGATATATATATATCTTTACAATCCACACAGTTTCATGTAATTTTAGCTACAATGAGAGAATCTGTACCTTGGTGAAACATATAACCGATCCGAACAGAGATCCCAATGTTCCAAGAAACGCCATGAATCGACATGAATAAATTACCTGAAATTTTGACCAAGGAAATAAGAACAAGAATTCTAGGTCAAGTTTCTCTGATTCGTTCTGCCATTCAAACACCTAAACCTTAAAAACACATCAACACGAGCGATTAACTAACCCCTAAAAATCTCAGCTTTAAACTATGAACAGAGACATTCAAATCCCTATTAAAAAAAAAAAAAAAAAACTCAGCTTTCCCAAAATTCTGTAATCGAGTAATCAGCGTTTAAATGAAATTTTGGAATCAACCCATTTACCTTCTCTATCCCTTCTTCCAAAGCTTCGAATCTATTCGTAGAATTCGATGTCACAGCCGCCGACGCAGAGGTAGAGGCCACGCGCGAAGAGAGAAATCGCCCCGGAGACTTGAGACTACATGCTGCCGAGCTCTTCGTGGGAAGATTCAAGCCACGATAGCTTGATTTAACTAGCCTTTTATCAATCGGGACGAAATTGCGACAACCGTGGAAGATCGATCCCGAAGGCGACGGCGCGGAGATAGCATTTGCGTTTATGGTCCGGCACGGCGTCGTCATGGCGGTTTTGGGAAGAAGAAGAAGAAATGTGACTGACGACAAGTCAACAAGGTGTTCGGGAAGAGAAGAAGAGAGTGATAAGCAGAAGCAGAGGACGTGTCAGTAAGATTGGGATTGCGACGCCGTGGAGAGTTTAGTTGTACGGTCTCTTAGGAATCCACTTGGACGGTGATTAACGGTAATAACAGAGACACTGTACACTTTTTTTATTTCACGCGCGTTATTTCCACAAAATATCTTTAAGTAATCCAAACGCAGACGCGCGTTTCGAAATACGATTCGTTTCTAACCGGTTCTGTGACCCAAAAATTGTTATTTCTTTTGATTCTACAGTGGACTTGGCGTGTAATAGGCCCAATGACTTCTCTTGCCCACATGGGCTAATATCCTAACCAACAATCCAATATCACTTCTTAAAACTAATATTTTGACCATTACAAGAACACAAACGTTTCAAGAATCTTTGGTGGCTTCTAGAAACTCGAATTCCATTTGTTCCACAAGCTTCGGCCTTTTAAATTTTTGTTCTTACGATACGAGATCTATATTGAATCATTCGGTTCGTGACAACTGCAAATCAATTTTCTCTAAAACATAACTTCCACCATAAACCATTACATTATGTATGCTTTGATTCACAGTTTTGAAATTTGAAGAAAGTCTTTAACTTAGGTGATTGTACTGAGAGTTATCTGTAAAGACTGGACTAATCCATACTCGATTTTCATAGCCCCACAAAATATTTATTCTTTTGTTTCACATTTTGTCTTCTTTTTTTCCCTTTTCCTCTTTGTAAAATGTAATCAGTGAACCATCATTAGCACCTACACCGAACTAAACCTAATTCGTGCAAAACATAAATATTAAAAAAAAAATGTTTGCGCTATTCACGGGACTTCTTTTTCTAAAGCACTCAAATGCTAGGATAAATCACAGAAAATTGTTGGGATATTTCGAGATATTATGAAACTTTATGTCAAAAAGTGTAGGAAAAAGAAATATGCAAGGCGAAATAGTCAATTTTGAGATGGAGAAAAATAAACTGTCGGCGCCGTAAAAGACTGCATAATACCATATTACATTCACATACATTGGTGTAGAATCTTTAACCATGAAATAGACTCTGCACATTTATCTGTTATCACAGAAATGGAATCATATCCTTATTTAATTTATGTATAGCTCATATTCCTGTTAAAGTTATTTACTTTTAAAATTTGAATTAATTAAAAGTACATTTTATTTTGACGAAATTTAAACGTGAAAATTTGGTGGTCTTAAATGCTTACAAATACGATAACAACTTTCTGAGTTCTGATTTTTGAATATTAATGTTTCCGAAATCTTTACTAAATAAAAGCAGCTAATTGGGGCCTCTCAGGGCACCTCACAGCTTTCAGCCACAGAATGCCACGTGGCATTTAAAAAAAAAAATCATTGTTTGGATTCGTATATTTGGGCTTCGCATCATTGTTTAGTTAAGAGGCCCACTAACAAAACCTGTTTATGTACATATCATCTCAGAATTAATGTCTCTTCTTCTTCTTTGTTCCGTTGCAGAGCAAAAACATCAAACGTCTCTTCTTCCTCTTGCATTCGCTTTCATCAAACATTCTTCTTCCTCTTACCTCCGGTTTATGATCTCTCCAATTTATGGCTACTTGGGTCGGATTCATCATTTGCAATCCTATATAACCCTGAACCTTCAGTCCCAACAGATCTACGCTCGAGATGTTATAGACGAGTTTATAGATATTAGACGCCCAACAATCGACCGTGAGAATCTGATTCAATCCCGCTCTGATCGTTGGCCTCTTGTTTCCTTTTCTGTTCGACCTTCTTCTAAGAGCTTCTGCCGAATAATGACACGCTCAGGTGACATAGTGGCTATTTATTTTCTCTTCGTTAAGATTTTCCAACTGGACTGCAATTTTTCCTTCTGCTAATTCGATAGAATCGAGGACGAGAATGCGCTTTTAAGTATTTGATTTTTTGAATATTAGTTGATATGACATTATCAATTTGAATCTATCTGCAATCCAGAGGGACAGTTTGCATGCTAAGCGATTTGGAAGCAAAGCATCCCTGAGATTGTTTGCCTTGAAGATCCAGCGTCGGATTGTTAGTCCGAAGCATCAGAAAACCCGACAATTTCTGCATCGGTGAGGTTTTCAAGAGAGATCGTATCGATTCTGGTTGTTTCTCATGTTAGGTTTGATTCCGTGTTGTTTGAAAACGAAATATCATTTGGGGCATTTAGATTAAGACCATAAGCATATGTCATGCAAGATCTTTCACAATTTTTATTGTGTTTTAATTACTTATAAACTTGCAGGTATTACGTGGAGATGATGGGGCTGGAAAATCGAGTCTTGTGTTACTCTTTGTTAAAGATCAGTTTGTTGAATTCCAGGTTGTGTAAGTTTCTTCAATTGACTTTGACATTCATTTATGTTATAGGATCAACCATATGTGCATCTTTATTCTCACACACATTAGCTGTGAACAATTGGGACTGTAAAGTTCTAGATTTGGGATACAGCAGGTCAGGAACAATATAGTTTGGCTCCAATGTACTACAAAAGTGCAGCTGATATAATTATTGTCTTTGCTGTTAGGACTTATGTACAAAGGCGCACAATCCTGTGCTTCAGTGGACTGGCATGTGGGCGAGCTTTCTACCAAATTGAGTTGGGTTGTCATCAAACAGTGTATAGAGGTTCTTTTTACTCTAATCATCTTTGGAGAATGATATAACACCACTCTTTGTATTCCTTGTAGGAGTCTAGGAGCCACAAACATATGCTCAAGAGAACGGTCTCTTCTTCATGGAAACTTCACAGAAACCGGCAGCTAATGTCAAAGAGATATGTTATGAAATCGGTGAGCTATCGTTACACTCGTGAATCAAAATTCAAATGTTGGTGATATAATTTGCTTTAGCGGTAAGTATGACTCTTTTTGTTTTGTACCATGTATTGATATCTGCTTCTATGAATTTGTAGAATATTTGTTTATTCTTCTGATTTTTGATTAAAAAAATATATATTGGAATCATTTGTTTGTAAAAAATGACGAGCGTTCAATACAAATAGTTGGTGGGTTTACTATTAAAACTGTAGAGCAAATGAAAAATAAAGATCATATAATAATGAAGATCGGTTATTGTATTTGACCAACTCTTCTGATATGAAATGATTTGGCATACCCATTCAAATTGGTTTGCAGGCAGTTTTTAGGGATTCAATAAAGATGTTTGCATGTCGTTTTTTTTTCATTGGCAATATCTGATTGTCTCACTTGACAAAAAAATGTGTTTCTTTTGAAGGAACATATGGAAAATCATAAAAAACTTCTGAAGCTATTTAATTGATGAGACATAACACACTGCAAAAGATGTACATGAGAGGACTTCGCACAAAAATGCTTGTGGAGATGGAGGATAGGGAGCGAGAAAAAGCTCATGGTGTTTCTTAAGATTAGGCCACAAAAGTACACTTTTAGAAGGAGTAAATTTCTTATTACACTGTTGCTCTTTCAGTATACAAACTTGTGGATTTTATGTTTGTGAGCTTTTAACTAAATACAGGAAAAGGTGACAATATATTATGATGTCTAAGTTACTTATATCTTTGAATTATGTTACGTTTTATTCCACTTCATTCATGAGCTCATGTGGGATTCCAGCCCATGGGTTTGGCTTTCGGTGAGTTTATAGAAACTGAAAGTTAAGGAGCTTGAGATCCACAGGAGAGAGAAGGAGCTTTGTCTTCATGGTTCGTTCTTCCTGGCAAAAGACGATGCTGCCTGGAACGAGAGAAGTTATAGTTAGCGTAACTCTTTCCAAATGGAGTAGAGAACCGTCTGAGAAGGAGAAGGTGGATTGTCGAAAAAATGTGTTCAATATGTCACATGAATTAAAACAATTCATTTTATAACTAATCAAACTCTTAGTCAGAAAAACTAATTATCAATAATATACTTTTATATTCCATGAACATAAGAACATATAATGTTTTAGACCAATAAAATTACAGTTTCAAACTAAAACATGAAACAAATTTATAAATACTTTACCCGAGCGTAGTCCGGGATTTGCCCTAGTATTAATTAAAAAGTACTTCAAACGTGAAAGCAGTTAACATCATTATACTCTTTCGGCGTTTACTTATCCATTGTTTCTTCTTCAATGTTAAGCTCTTATACTATCTTCACGACATTTAGGAAAAAGTATATATAATATTTGTAAGATAAATCTTATTTATCAAAAGTTGGAATCACGTGATTTCTGCTATAAATAAATTTATAACATGAATTTGGTGAGGCAATATTGCTATTGCTCTTAATTTGTCAAAAAAACATTACTACAAATAATGTCAAATTATCCTGTCCGTTCGAGAAAATGATTATCTTTTGGTCTATCCTTTTGGAAGAACTTGAATTTGAGTAGATCAAAACACAATAATCATGAGTTTAAATTAATCTATCAAAAAGTAAAACGAAGAATATCACACCAAACTTTCTGGTCTGAGTTACCACTCTATAGATTAAAAATTGACTGTTGTAATTGTATACTTGTATTGGATAATTTCGTTCTAGAAATGGTCAAAAGCGTAGTAAGTAATATGGATGAGATATTTATTACTTTTCAAAATACTGTCTTATTCTCTAAATTTTATTCTTACAAGAATCAAGATATTTATCTCAACTAGGCTATTTTCTACATCACAAAAAAGTCAAAAGTGGAAGACGCAGAAGTAGTCCACGTGACATGTACAGATCACGCTCACGTGGTTTAACTGTTGGAACCACGTACGAGTGAGGTGATGGCTTTTCCGTAATTTCATTTTAAATTAAAAAGCTCGGAAAAATTTATACCTCCACAGTGTGAAAACGAAGAAGACCTCTTAAGTAAGCCACGTGTCAATACGTGAATGGTTTGTTCTCTGTATTAAATACCCTACAGACGAGGCTAAGGTTGTCTCTGTTTTGATAGGGTTCTATAATCAGAAGCAACTCTTTGCCTCATTTCGCTCGCCATTACCAAACCTAACTTCTGCTTCTTCTTCTCTCTTCTCTTTCTTCGTTTTTCTTCTTTTCAGATTTAGAGAGAGAGAGAGCGAGAGATTGTGATAAGAGTCACCGTCGGGCTCTGATTCGCTTGGTGCAGGTCGGGAACTAATTGGCGTTGATTTTACGTATTAGTATGTGAGCAGGGATTGGTTCCCGCCTTGCATCAACTGAATCGGAACCCCGATGGTGAAAACCAAAATTCAGTCAGATCTGGAAGACATATGTTCTTCTTATTCTCCTTCTTCATTTTCGTTGTTTTTCGTTGTTGCAGTTTATTTTGGTTTATTTTCTTTAGATAAAACCTAGAAAGAAAGGGGAAACACTTTTTTCCTTTTACAAAATCTTAAAATATTTTGTTAGTAAGAAATTCTCTAATTTTTACTTGATTTAAGTATTTTGGGATTCATGATATCTGATTTCACTCTTTTTAATCTTGTGGGAATTCGAATCTTCTCAAATCTGTGTTTTTTTTTTTCTTGCCAAGTTATAAGACTTTGCTAGATGGATAACATGTTAGAGATTGATGATTTAATTAATTTCTCGATTCAGTCTCTTCTAAGTTCTAACAGTTTATTCTCTCAATCCTCTGATGATTTCATTTCTAGTGGTAGATATGACGATGAAGAGCTCTGTTCTTGAGAATCTTTAGGGTTTATGATTGGTTTTACTTTGAACAGTTACTTATGATTAAGAGATTCAAGATGGCCTGAACAGGTGGGTTAGTAGTCAAATCTCATTTACAATATTGTGTTGGGTTTTGTGAGGCAAATCTTTTGGCTGGTTTGTACCGGTTTAGCTTCTTACTGTTGGTTTTGCTTATTAACATCTGGAAAGTAAAACTTTGTTCAAAATAAATAAATAAAATCTGAAAACTTAGCACTGTTTATGTATGTGTTGATAATCTGCTGTAGTCTGTAACTCTGTATGTGCGTATCTATATGTCAATGATTAAGTTAGTTGTGCAAAGAGTTGAAGAGAGGTTATATTGCAGGCATGTGAAGTGAGTTTGAATCTTCAGTTCTCTTTCCGTATATGGATATGTAATGTTGATTGATAGTAGTTCTTTAATTGTTTGAGCGAGAACAAATGCTGTTGGAATTAAAATGAATAAAAAAATACAATTAGTGCGGAATAAATGCAATTAATGATGTTACTGGAAAACAAACGTTATAAAACAAAAAAAGTTTGAATGCAGATCAATGTTGAGCTTAATACTGACAAAATTAATCGAGAATATTTGTTTTTTAATTAGACAAGACATTTGTCCATCAAAGCTTGTCTAACTCAGCATAGAGAGAGGCCATAAGCTTCGTTTACTCCTTTGGAGCTCGACGAGATCATTTGCCTTTTACAGACATTTTAGTTGGTGTCTTAGTTACAATGTGTACAATCACTAGCTATGTGTAGTGTAACTATAATATTACTATTTTGTAAAAGGAGAAGTTCGAATATTTTTGAGAATCTTTGCCAATGACTGTGACTAAAAGCATGTGTTGATAATTGGATTTGAGGCAATTTAGTCAAGAAAGTCCTCTGTTTTGTCAATGACAGGTTCCCTATTTTCACCTGCTCCTCTTTAGTCTTTAAATTTCGTTTTAATGTATTTCAAACATTATTATAATAAAAAGTAAAGTTAATCAATTGTGCAAAGTCTTACTATTAAGTATTAATTGATGATGGCATAAGATTCTCCTTCTTTTCACAGTTTTATTTTCAAGCTATTAATCCAATTTGAATAAACTGAGTCACCTAAAAATCAACAGAAACCTCCTCAAAAGAAAAAAACACTCCGTTTCTATTTCTAAAAACAAAAAACAAAACCAAACAAATTAAAACAGTACCCTACAATAAATCAAAGTACCAATGTTAATAATTATGGAATTATTATGCTTTGTATTAAAAGAGGTAAAGTGTAAATGATGATCATCAAAGTGTTGGGATATTTACGAACAAAAAAACAAGGAAGCATCATGTGATTCAAAGCTTGAATTGTCAGACCCTGAAGTTTCACTTTCAAGCTTAACACAAACCTCTATGTTCAGTATAGAAACAAGTCACTAAGTCAGGGCCATCCAGTCTAGCTTCTTATTCTTTGGATTTTAACCGAATTTTGTTCCATACGGTTTCGTTTTTTGATTTTTAACCCCCCCCACCCCAAAAAAAATAATAATTAAAATTATTTCCATCTTACAGTAAATGACTCTAACCTGAAGTTTGAAGCTTATGTCTTATGATATCAAAATCTTATGAAGTTTCTAGTGTTTCCTGCTTGCAAGAACTAGATCAGTTTCATGGATTACAAAGCAGCATCTTTGGATTCTTTTAAGGACTGGAACTAAATCAAAACAAATATATGCTGAGATAGTGAGATGAGACGTTCACAAAACTTAAACAACTTTTGCAAAACATAGTCAAAGCTGGTTACATTCAATAACAGAGAATAGTGTTTTTCTACTCGTGACTCTTTGCAAAAGATGAAGCTAGAAGTTTTTCCGACTCAGAAACGATACAAAGTGATCAGCTGAAGCCATAGCTTGAGAAGCTGAACCAATTGATCCATCGTACCTGCAAGAAGAAGACAGTAAAATCACAAGTGTCCTGTGAGTGTCATAAGATTGAAATGTAATGTAATTGAGCAAGACTGTGAAGTGTACTCACAGAGCAACCAATATGTGAGCCGCGGTCTGGATAACGACAGCTCCTTCACCAGCAGGCTGTGTTGTGTTTAAGCACCGAGCAGCGAACCAATTCTCGTGAAGTGATGTTACTATGTCTACAAAATTTCGAGTCCTATCATTAAACCACAAAGTCACACTCTCTCAAAGCAAAAGAACAAAAAGCAAACGAAAACTTTACATTGGTTGGATCCAAGAACAAAGGTCTCTGTAGGAAGATTGCCTCTTCTCATGAAATCGATGAATTGCTTTAGCTCAACTGGATACAGATCTATACCTTCTTGTTCAGCTCTGCAATCAAGTCAAAATTGAGCCTCAATATTAAGTAGAATCTGATCTTTATCGACAGCAGAACATAGAGAATGAAACAAGAGATTGGATGTTTGTGAATCTGCTTACATTGTTGATAAGAGACGAGAAGGTCCTGTAGGGTCATAGTTAATCAAAACAGCAGCTTTCAATGGATTTCCTGGATACAATGTCAAACAACCAAATCACCAAAAGAAGATTCCTTTTTTTCTGGGTTACATTCAGAGTTTCCCAGAGAAGATGAAGAAGAAGAAGAAACCCTAATCGGAGACTTACCTGAAGATCCGACGTTACCCGTCGAAACCCATTTGTCCCAAGCTTTATCCATAAACGCCGAATCCATCGATGAGCTCCGAAACTGTTTAAACGATTTATAAATCAACGATCTTCGTCGACCCTGAAGTAAAGTCGGAAGTTTCAAAGCTCTCTCGCTCTCTCTCTCGGAATCCGTATACATTTGAAAACTTTTCACATAAAGCTCGATAAATACAGGAAATAATCTTAAATGAAATGGAAAAATAAGTACTCTTTATTCAATTTTGAAATTGCTATTGTTTTACTCTTAAAAACTCTTATTCCTCCTCAGCAATGATAATTCATCCGATTCGGGAAAACCAAAAAACCTCAAACACTCTGGAGATTTTGGTTGAAATTAAAAAAATTTGAACATATAGAGATCTATTCGTCAGTAGAGATTGCAGGACAAGTAGGATTGCAAATCGGCGATGGACAGTCTATCTTCTGAAATGCACTCCGGCCATAAAACCAATTCCCGACCGCCTTCGCAATTTTCTGCAAAAGTAAAAGAGAAACACCCAAAATCAAAAATCGAAAATTAAAACCAAATTGAAAAGATTATAAGAAATGAAAGGTGTTATTACCGTGTTGGCGACTTGGGGGCCTTTGTCACCGGACCAAGAGGCGGCGCTTCCGCCTTGGCAATGAGCGTGACACGAATCCAAGAACAATCCTCTCGACGGAGTACTGTGAACCGGAGACAATGCACGCATCATCTGGTCCCTAAACCCTGACATGTTCAAAAATCCGGTTTAATCTAATTTACCGCCAAACCAAAACACTCGTTTTTCCCACATAAACCGAACTGATCAAATCAAACCAAACAAAATTTGTAAAATCGGGTTTAATTATGGAATTACCTTGGACGGTTTTGAGCTGAGCGGCAGAACATTTCTTAAGATCAAGCTTACAGTTCTTCCACTGCTTAAGCTTATCAACAGCAGTTGGAGCCAAAACGTTCTTGATCTGAAAACCACCAATTTCAAGAATCAAATTATGTATCGATTTAGTGAATGTGTATATGGAGTATATAAATTTATAATGTGTTATGTGTATCGGACCTGCCAGGAATCGAAGGCGGCGTTAATGACAAAGAGTGGTGTTCGCATGAAAGGAACCACGTATTGTGGGAAGAAACACTGCAAAAAAACAATCAAAGAAACTCGTTAATATCGCTCGATAGATTAAAAAAAAAGATGTCAATGTCAATAAATGTTTTGAAAATGGATCGATAAGTAGCACGTACAAGTTCTGGTTTCATTTTTGAAGTGCAAGAAACAGGAAGACTCTTTGCAGATCCCTACAACCAAAATTTAAGCAAGACTTACGTTAGGAGTAATCTCTTATTTTCTAAGAGAATTAACAATAGAGAGATCAAGAGAAATTGTACGTGTAGTGCGACGACTTTGCTGTAATACGACTGGATGTATGATCCTCCCGAGATATCCTTACTGTTTCATAAGATCCAAATAAAAAAGTGAGATAATCAATTCAAATGATCAATAATTCTATTAGTAGTCTTCACTCTTTAACAAAAACAATTAAATAATTATCATATTAGTATAATCACGCACCCGTGGATAAAGTAACCGGCGTCGGAAACACATTTGACACTAGCTGTCCGGGGAAGTATGGCTCGGAAAGTGTCACAATGTAGAATCGCGGCCAATGCTCCGGCTGAACATCCGGAGAGTATCGCCTGAAAAGTTTTATAAACCTCTCTAAAATTAGTAATTAAGAAACCAAGAATTTTAAATTGGTAACAAAGAATGAGAGATGTTGAAACAAGGGGATAAATAAATACGTTTTGAGCGTTTTTCATTCCTTTAGCCATAAGATCATCAACCACCGCACGCCAAACTCGTGCACCGCGGAAGAACAGCTTGTTCGCCTGAAAATGATCATAGTGTCGATCTTAAAACTTACGGTTTTGAATATGAAGTTTTTTTGGTAAATGTGAAAATTTAAATTACTAGATGAAAATTTTGTTGTTATCTTGGGATGGGGAGAGACAATCATTTTTCTGGATATAGATTCCACAATTTAGTCAGTAAATTACCGGATTAACGGCTTCTACATTTCCGGTGAATGATGAACCATCGCAATATCGTACTTTGATTCTATTCCAATTGTAGAAATCTGAAGAAACAAATTTTCCTTTTAGTTAAGAGCAAGTAATGTATGCAAAATCGTTGAACCATTGGATACAATAAAATAAATATTAGTTTTAGACCTGGGTTGGTGCTTTGCTTGCCACCCAAGATACCGGAGAAACCAAAGTCTCTGTTCATGAATTTGGACGAACCCTTCATTGTACCCTTACGCTCACTACATGAAGCGACATCGGTACACCATCCTCCTCCCTAAGTCATAAACGACAATGATTGTAACTTAATTACTTTTTATATTATACGTACATTGAATTTCTTTTCAGTACGATTCTTACTAGTAATCAAAACTATTAGTTACCTCCATATGAACAATCCAATTGTTAACCCCTGAACCAAACCCTTTGTCGAAATGGTAAGCCGGTGCGCTCCCATCCAAACACACTACAAGAACATTGGAAAGACAACTCTTATCAGTAACATAATTGGTCAATTATCCGATTCCATTTAATTCAGTGGACTTTATATGCTAATGTTGTTAAACAGTTAATAAGCATATTATTACCAGCTCCTTTAGCAACGGCGCTTTGGAGATAAGTGATGGGAACGGCTCCAACTCCGATCACCACTACTGCCAACACTAGTAGACTTGAAAAACATTGCTTAAGCCTCCCCATTCTAGAACAAACAAAAAAATATAAAAACATTTCAAGTATATATATTTGATAATTACCTAAGAAGAGAAGATTATAATTCTTATTACATCGATCATATAGTTATGTGATATTACGATATATATGTTCGATTATTCTACTATTCTATAAAAATTCAATGGATATGAACTACATTGTGGTACATGGCCATGAACAGAAAAAGGAAAAAGAAAAAGTCCATCACTCATGTGCGTGTTTTAAAAATAGCTTTTCTCAGACGACCTTTATAGCTGTCTGTAATTGTTACTATCTTGATCAGAGTGCAGTAGACTAAACAATTATAAATATTATGACAAAAATTGTTTATAATCGTATCTAGACACACCCATTGTTTTGTATCAGTTCATTGTTTAACAACATTGCCTTAGGTTAGCAAAATACCTTATCACGTCCTACCCTCTTTCAATACTCAGAATATATAGGTTATTAGAAAGTCATATTCTACGAATTAAACATGTTGGACCGTAGAGAAATGCCCCGAATCACATCAGTTCGCGAAGTATCCTTCGATGCCATTCACAAAAATGATAAGAAAATTTGTTTAACTTGCAGACTTCTTGAGGCCTAATCGCTGCCTAATAGCCTAAATGGGTGTATTTAGTGATAACTAACAAGACTCAAACCAAATATATAAAAATTTTAAAATATAAATTAGGTTTAGTAATTCCATCAAATGATAACATTCTGAGTACAGATCAAATTACAGAAATGGCAATAAAAATGGAATTTATAAACATGAAGCTAACCTTATAAAAAATGGAGTTCTGTAAATTCTTCTTGCTAAGAGAGAGAAGAAAGGTGTCTATTTTTTTCTTCTTGTGCGTTTATGAGATGGATAGAGAAGAATCCGAAAGGGAGAGTTTTAGAAGTTGATGGAGGCCAGCCATTGTTGTCTCCTCCATTATATAGACACATCCACAAGTTGCAAATAATAAAACAAACTTTTTTCTTTCTTTTTGATTTGCTTTTTTATTCTTTTGCTTTAATTTGGATAAAGGTTTTTCTTTTTATAAGATACATGTGAGTTGTGAATGGTATAGCGTGCGTGTCAGTAGATCCGCCAGGTTATCCAACGTTAAGAAACTACGTTGTATAGTCTTTGTATTCATGTTTTTTAAAACCTAACCCGAATTGATAGATCGATGTAATTTCTAAGCAAACTCAAAAAAGTTAAAACATTTAATTGACAATACTTATCATATCGTAAATAAAATATCAAATTGTATATAATTTCTTTTTTTGTTTAAAAAACTGGTTTAGTTTGTATTTTGTGTATTAGTAAGAAACATAAGTTACTATGATAGGGCAACTTGATACATGTAATAAGAGTAATATAAGAACAAAAAATAAAAGAAAATACAATACCAAATCAATCCCATAATGTGACAGTTTTATAGCGGTTCACAAGGATATAGTTATTGTTATTGACAACTTATTGTGATTAATTGTGTGTGTGTTAGACAGAAAACAAAGGCTTGTATATGTAGCGTAGATGCTCAACGTAAGTCATAAAGTAGAAACTGAGAAATATCTTCTCAACTTAATCACCTTTGACATAATTTAAGTTTTTTTGTTTCACAAAAACCAGTCACAATTGATTTTGTGTCTTAATGATAATTGATGTTACGTACGTTAATGCTAAAAGAGATATTTGTTAACTCAATACACCAAAGTTTTGAAAATTGTTATGTATTTTCCATTTGTTATATCAGAGGATTATATGCACCTCATAATTTCAATATGAAACATTTATTATATTTGAAGTTTTACAAGTAACCAACTTTCAACTTCTATTTCTTATTCAGATCAACTTCATTTTTGTTATATGAACTATTTCATACTGTTTATAACGAATCATGTCCAACATCTAATCTTATGGGAAAATGGAATAAAATTATTTCGTCAAAAACGATTTCTAAATATAACTACATAAAATCTAAAATTTGCTTTTCGATTTCAATAATGCGACTTAACTAGTCTAACCAACCAACAAAAGGTCTATTCTCAATTTGATATCATATTAGACCTTGAAGTTCATAACTCTGCAAAATATCTAAATTTTCATTTTAAGGTATCAATCTATGTCTTTTTCACTGAAACTTTGCATCTACATGATACGTGTATTTTTTCTTCCTTGGATTAAGGCATACATGATATAAGTAATATATGTTAGATTGTATTCGTTGTAAAAAATAACTCAACGAACACAATCTACATAACTAATA